GGTCAGCCGTATCGCTCGACTCAGTAACACCACTGATACGAGGTAAAGTATGCTCTTATTTATTTATAACACATGATCGATCTGTTTTGCTAAGAATGCTTACACTAATTACATCAAAGTAAGAGCAGCTGATAAAATAGAGTGACAGTATACAGAGCACAGATTCAGTTTCAATTAAGAACTAGTGATATAGAAAAGGCTGTTTATTCTTGTAGGTTAACACAACTTCGTGCTATACCAAAATTGTCCCCGAAAGCAAAATTGATTGTGTTTTACCGGTTTGAGCAAGATCCAAGATCGTCAGCACTGCCTCCTCGAATCTGCCGTTCGTTGCGTCAAACCATTAACCACATAGAACATTCTGTGCGTGTGGGGGATTCTTCGCTGATCTCTGTGTCACCGGCTGGTGGGGCACTTTTGACTAGCTAAGCGCATACAAGCTTTCTCTCAATATTAGATAGACATAGGCTCAGTTCCGACAAAAGAGTAGTGAGATAACCGTGTCTTTGCAGTATCGATACATTCGATACAAAGTAAGAGTACTTCACTACTGCAATACAAGTACGTTTTTCAAATGTACCTCGATACAGGAACTCAAGGTATCTCTGAGATACTACTAAATTGCGACACTGCCCAGCCCTGTACTACAAATTTTGTGAAGGGTACAAACGACCACTCCAGTCATTCATTGTAGTCAAACGGCAGCAGTTTCATTCTGCTATACCTAGTTTTACAACCTTGCACAAAAAAATAATTCTTCCGCCCAGGTTTTCCTATCTAATTCAGCGTTACCACCACCAAAAATACCACGCACAAGCAACTACAATTTTCAGTGCCTGCTGTCAAACGCACATTGCTGGGCTGAGGCTTCAGGAGAAAGGCACAGTGGTGCCACCACAACACGCACGAATATTTCCGCGTGTTTCACCTCGCCGCTGCTTCTTGCTTTCGCTCTCTGCTCGTCCCACTACCCCTGTCTAGTTCACTATAATATAGCCCACTGAAATCTAACCAACAAGCCCTTTTGTCGACCTTGTTATGCTGCGTATTGCATCACATGTTCGTTAAAGGTACGGCATTAATGATGTTAAAATCACACTAAGCTGGATAAGCCTGGTAATTATTCTGTGACAATTTAGCGCGGTATTTCACACGCAGAAGCACGTTAGGAGATTGGCCAGTTAATATTGACAAAATAACGCTTTTTTTTTTTTTTTTTTTTATTCAAGTACCCTAAAGGCCTGGGTAGGCATTACATAGGGGAGTTGTAGCACAATAAAGCTGTTACAGTTACAGTGTATAATTTGAATAACAAATACAAACGATTGATATAAATATGCACATACATATGTAGAGATATTATTACTTAACAGTACAGAGATGCTACGTGGAGGAATAAAGAAAGTACTACTAAAAAAAAAAAAAAAAAAAAAAAGGACAACAAAACTCTAAGGAAAATTTTCGCAGTGTTCAAAACAACAAAAGGGTGCAAAGAAAGGATAATTCACGTTCATTGAAATACCGCGTACAAGAACAACGACAACAATTACAACAAAACAGATATGCACAGGAACAATATTAACTTTCATTAAAATAACTTTTAAGTTTATTCATGAAATCTTCATGATTTTGGGAAGAAACGACGTCGGCAGGTAGCTTGTTCCAGTGATATATTGCGAGAAAGAGGGGGGATTTACTTAAGAAGTTTGTTCGAGCAAAAACGGGTTGTACTTTAAAGGGGTGATCCAGGCGCGGAAAGATACGATGGGCGGCCGTGATGTGGCGTACGCGGAACGATGATGGTGAGTGATAAAGTTTGTGGAAATGAGATAGAAGTGCTATGATTCTTCTATTCTCTAGGGTGCTTAGATTCAGAGATTTTTTTAGGTTAGTTATGCTTGATGTTCGTGAATAATCTTTGGTAATGAAGCGGGTTGCTTTATTTTGAATTGCTTCGAGTTTGTTGATGAGATAAGACTGGTGCGGGTTCCAAATAAAAGATGCATATTCTAGTTTTGCGCGAACCAACGTCGCATAGGCCAATAATTTAGTAGACTTGTTTGCCAAATAAAGGTTACGCCTGATAAAACCAAGAGTTTTGCATGCACTGCTACAGATTGCTTCGATGTGGTCACTCCATGAAATGTTAGAAGATAAATGAACTCCCAAGTATTTTATTGTATGCGCACGCGCGATGACTGAGTCATTTATCAAATAATGAGTAAGCTTAGGATTAGACACTCTAGTGAAGGCTACAGCCTTAGTTTTCGAAGTATTTATCTCCATTTGCCACTGTTCACACCAATCTGCAATTTTCGCAAGGTCAGATTGCAAAGCGTCACTATCAGAGGTGGTAGTTATTCGTCTATAAATTACGCAGTCATCTGCGAATAATCGAACTGTAGATGAAATGCTATTGCTGATGTCATTTACATACAACAGGAATAAAATAGGCCCCAGTACAGAGCCCTGAGGCACCCCTGACTTGACCAGTGATCGTGAGGAAGAAAATTCATTGGCAGTTACAAATTGGTACCTGTCGGTTAAGAAATTCCTTATCCAATTCACAACCTGACTATGTATATTAAAATAGCGAAGTTTTTGTAATAAACGGTTATGAGCAACCTTATCGAACGCCTTGGCGAAGTCGATAAATATGGCATCTATTTGCGATGAGTCATTAACAGCTTCGTAAATGTCAGAGACCAGCTCGAATAACTGCGTCTCGCAGGAGCGACCCTGTTGAAAGCCGTGCTGGTTGCTGAAAAGATGGTTGTGCTTTGTTAGGTACTTCATGATTGCCGATGATATGATATGCTCTAATAATTTACATGGTATACTGGTCAGCGAGATTGGTCTGTAGTTGGTGACAGATGACGGGTCTCCGGATTTAAAAATTGGCACTATTTTAGAAACTTTCCATCCGTCAGGAACGCATCCTGACTGAATCGATTGCTGGAAAAGGCATGCAAAAATGGGAGAAATAACAGGTTTAGTTAACTTTAGCAGTTTAGGACAAATACCATCTGGACCAGGAGCAGAGCTGCTAGAAAGACGATCAATAGCAGCTTCGATTCCCTTTTCAGTGATCACGATGTCCTCCATGATGGAGGTAACGGAGCCGAGGTGAATATTGTCGGTAATAGGAAGCTCACGAGAAAAAACAGAACAAAAGAAGGAATTGAACGCAGTAGCGACTTCAGAGGGCGGGAGGAACTCGTTGCCTTGCATTATCGATATGAAACATGAAGACGACGGCTTGGGGTTTATTACTTTCCAGAATTTTTTTGTGTTGACAGTTAACATGTTGGAGATGTCATGGTTGAAAAATTTGTCTTTTGCTGCCTCAATTTCGGTTTTGCATAACTGCGACTGTTCGCGATAAGCCTTCCAGGCATCGTCAGATTGCAAGGTTTTAGCTCTTGAATAAAAGCGCTTCTTCTTGTTAATGCATCGCTTCACGTGGGAGGTAAACCAAGCGCTCCCTGTAGACACAGATATGTGTATTTTTGGAATGTATTTTTCTTTGAGTTCGATTAGCTTGTGACAGACGATCATCCAGTTCTCATTGCTGTCGCGATGCTGCATGCCGTTGAAAAATTCTACGCAAAAGGACGAGAGTTCGCTATAGATCATTTCAACATCTGCACGTGCGTAATCATAAATTGTTTTCTTTTCATTCACGCTTTCTTTACGCGTTAACTCGAATTCACAATGGATGACATTATGGTCACTGATGCAGTCTAACACATTAACAGACATGTTTGACGGTTCGGTGGTAAGCACAAGATCCAAGATAGCATCCCCCCGTGTTGGCATAGAAACTATTTGGCTTAAACCGTAAGACGAAATCACGTCAAGAAAGTCCTTACATTTCGGACGTCTTTGCAAACAGGACAAGCGAATCCTTCACGGATCAGTTTAGTCACCAGGGCAGAATCGCTCGATCGCTCTCAGAAATTTTCTCGTTCTTTCATTTTTTTTTCTCTACCTTTCTTCTTTTTGAGTTCCATCCAGAACATTCCTTTCCCCTCTTTTGAAAGTCTGATTTGAATTAATAGCAACTGTTTTCCACGATCGCGTAGTTTTCCGACTGTCAAGTCCTGGAGATGGCCCTGCCTTCCCTGGACCTTCTACTACACAGCTCATGAAAAAGTGCATGCACGCCTCAACTGCGCAGTACGTTGGTTTACGTGACGAACGAACAAGTCCAAGAACGCGGTACATCACGACAGCAGGAACCATTTTCATCGGTAAACTTCTAATTCCGGTGAGGAATTGCTGGCCGCATAAATGGCCAAAAGAACAATACAAAGCTATTTGATTTGATGGACTCAAATATACTCCACAACGCGTGCATTCAAGGCAATCTCTTTTTGTTTTCACCCACTTCCATTCCGCATGTTTAACATCCCAAAACCACGATATGATCATGAGAGACACCGTAGTGGAGTGCTACAGAAATTTCTACTGCTTGGGCTTCTTTAACTTAGTCAATTTAAGCACACGGGCCTGAAGCATTCTCACCTGCATTGAAAAAGCAGCAGGGTCCCACGACCTGCCGGTCAGCAGTTGAGCGCGAGATTTTGTCGGACGCCTTGCAAGACAACACTGACATTGAGATCGGCTCATATAATTCGTCCAAAGTATTCTAAAATTGACCAAGTCTTGCAGCACCACGTACAGTATTGCTAATACCAGCGCTCTTTAACACCGATTAATGTTAGCCAGTCACACTTAAAATTCCATGATTTAGGGGTCACTTGGCTTATTGCTTTCTGCGTTCGCTAAAATGGTAAATAATAGATATTGTTGTCTATATGCCGTCTAAACTCTCCCAGGGTATGTATTCGAGCCCAAGTAGTGCCGTGAGCAGCCTACGTCATTCTTTCTTTTTTTTTCTTCAGAAGCTCTTAACACAATTTAAAGGGCAAACCTTCGCTCTACGTGAACCGTGAACAAGCAAACATCGCCTCATGCTATACTGTTTTTTCTCGCAGGTGATCTTCGATGGCATGCGAGCCGTAGGCGTCGAGTTCGTGAAAGATGGCCGCACTCGCACCGCATTCGCCACCCATGAAATTATCCTGTCGGCAGGAGTCATCGAGTCACCGCACCTGCTTTTGCTATCGGGCATCGGGCCCAAGGAACAGCTGCAGGAATTCGAGGTGACGTATTCATGTAGGAACCATAGTACAGCAAAGAGACAGAGATTCAAAAAAATGACGGCGATGATGATGATAATGGCTGTATTGGTGGGTTTTGGCGCAACCTCATTCGGGTACTAGCGCAATACATGACGTGGACGTGTCGTACGTTTCCTTCGGCCGTGTCGCTAAAGTTGAGCTTTCCCCTAAAGAACAGCGATGATGATACCTAACCTAAATGTCTTACGCCTACCCCCAAAGATGGGCCAAACGACGACTAAATTTAGGCCTCGTGTGAATTTTGTGATGACTGAGAGACTTCGGACTAATCAATATAAAAAGCACCACGGGTGCCTCTTCTTTCTACATGTCCTTTTGTACTGCGATGGCATCAATATGTATCGGCCAATAGCACCAAGAGGCTTTAGTGCAGACTCACCTCTTTTGTTTCTTCATTCATTCATATATATCGTCGGTCGGTCGGTGCTGATACTTCCGAGCTTCATAAGGCATTGAAGAGGAATGTACCACAACCATTGAATGGTTGTGGTACATTTTCATCAAGTCAGCAGTGCAGGAAGGTGTTTGCATCAGGTAGTAGTTCGTGGATAAAGTGATTCGAGAACCTATTATAGTGAGGAAATAGGCTCTCGTACATTGAATTAATGACAGTGTTGCGGAGCTGCACTTTTCAACGTCGAGTCAATCTCTCTATTACACCGCCTTCAAACTAACCGCTATATGTTGTGTATCACCCCAATAACTTTCTTTCCTATGCAAGTTTTAAAAAGAATGAATATAGGCGTAATATTCATCACGATCATTGCACAAAAAAAGCACCAAAACACAAAGTGCACGACACAAGCGCTGCCTAACGATTGAAAGTTTAATGGAAGAAACGTGTCGATTATATGCAAACATGGAGATAAAAAGCTTGAAAACCCCCACCCAGCACGCAATCAAGTATGCTGTAGATACGAAATCACAGCAGCTGTGAGAAGGATTGAAGGCTGGCACCTGTCTCTTGCTTGCATGATTTCGTAAGCTTCAGCAACTTGACGCGTGCGCTGGTCTATACGTCTCACCACGACAGCGGTTTTGATTAACTCAGCTGCGCAGCCGCACTTCCAGCATTGGAGGACAACATGCGTAGATTGTGTACATTTTAGAGAGCTAGCATGCTCTCTTAGACGTTGAGACAACGTCCCATTGTGTTTTTTTGTGCGCTGATCGTGATGAGTATATTCGAACTAGTCAAATTCGCTACTTTACCTTAGGCGTGCTATATGTGATAAATCCAACAACAAAAAATTGGCAGATTCCACGTACAGTGGTAATCGATGATATGCGAAGCACGAATGAGAAAGGTTTATATGTCTCTAAAATCAGCACAACGTTACGAGGTGGAGGTAAGTTAGGCCGTACATCACTTTCGTGTCATGATTATCATGTTTGGATGTGTCATTTACCTTCGTAATCTATTCATGATACGTGCTACCAAATTTAGTGTATGTGAAGTTCTGCGCCTCCTGTCGACGCCCATGCATGAATGCACAACTTGAAAACGTTTCCAAGTTGGTCATTCACCATACACGACACGAAAGTAGATGCAACGCAGCCAACACATTTTTAATAATGCACAAGGATAATCCTAAAGCAATGCACCTGGAGGCATGTACTCGCTTCTTTGTGTGGCTGCTTTTATTAACCGTGCTCGCTGCATCTTTTTCGAGCCAATGACCTGTGGCACATACGTCGCACTAAACGTCATCTTACAACGTATGCGCACAATGCTTTCAGATCCCTGTGATCGCCGACTTGCCAGGCGTCGGAGAGAACCTGGCCGAGCACGTCTACCCCGGTGGCCTCAGCGCTAGCATCAAGCGCAAGATCGACATTGACATCACGCCGTTCGCTGGCCCACTGCTCTATTACAGCCGGAATAAAGGCAAGCTCTGCATAATGAATTCGGTGGAGCGCTCTCGAGTAGGACGACGGACAAGAAGCACATGCGCTGCAAGAAATTAACTGCATTTAGACTGTCCGCCGTCCTATACTCGCACGGAATTCAGCGTGAAACCAAATCACTCAGCTAATAGTCAGTCCTAAAGGTAGGCTCGCAAACCGTCCCAATATTATAAATGAAGGCTGGTATGACAAACCCTTTGCATAGTAAAACATCCCATATAAACCAGTAGGCCTAAAATGCTTAGTCTTCGATTAAGGATTCAAATATACGCGCCTACAGTAAATGGCTTACTTGGCGAACTTATTCTTACCTGAAAGTATGGCCACACAATGAACTTGGATGCGTTCGCAAGCAGTTTCCTATCATGTATGCCGAATAGCAGTCTTGAACCCAGCAAACGTTTCAACATTATGTCTCAGTTGATTCTTGTCATAACAAATGGATATACAAACCTCTATTCTTCAAAGGGCCACTCACCAGGTTTGACAATTTTGAGCTGACAAGCGCAATGCGTAGACGGGGCGTTCATGATCACTTTTGCCAAAATTTGCAACACTACGCGCCGCGGAAATGGGTCAAATTTCAAGATGAACGCTGCTCCCCTTCGCCTCTGCCCGTGCGCGCCTAGAGAATGAGGACATCTGCTGCTGAAAAACATTTATTTACAGATGTTATTTACACGGAGGGTGGGCATGGCGAGCGCGTATGAATGGCCCTACGTACACGGCAATGAATTGACGTTAGTCCTCTTTGAGACGACTCTGCTCTGACGTTGCAGACAGTGACACGTGACATGGTGAAAATTATTTAACACGGCATGCGTAGTTTATGTAATTTGATGCAGGGCTAATGTGTTGGCGTTTCGCATGCGTTCGTGTCCCGCGGTCAGCGCACGGAGCATACGACCGCCGTGGAACGCTCCTACGCGTTCGCGCACTCAGCTAGCTCATCCATTCTACCCCGTTTAGGCCAGCGTTTCCAAATGATCCCGCAGAAACAGGCAAAAACCACAAAATAACGCTGGTCAACAAAGCAACGTCGCTCGCGTCCTCGGGGGTTGGACTTGTTTGGGCACGTAATGCGCACGCCACATCATGGTCGGATGCCGGAGAGAGTGCAGAAGAGATTTGGCTTGTGAAGGCTACTTGGAGAAGCGGCAAGGGTTTCGAGCTCGCCTCCCCTCATCCTCGTTTCGCACCGCTTTAAAAAACTTTTTCTTCGCTCGTAATGAACCAATTCAAAAAATTTTGTGGCACAATGTTCCTACCTAACAACTTCCACTGTCTAACGGAAATTTGCTATGGCGCCTGGTGAGTGGCCCTTTAAGGTATATCGACAATCCTGTCAAAATTGCGCTGAAGTAAAGCGCATAGTCATAAAAATTCTGATCTGAGCTGCAGTTTATTCACAAGCTCCCATGCCTCTAAAAAATGGCAGCATATCCACGGAGTTGATGGATAGTGGGGCAAAGCATCCGTCCGTCCATTCGTTCTTCCTTCCGTCCATCCATGCGTGCGTCTGTGTGGCCGCCCGTGCGTCCATCCGCCCATCCGTGCGTGCGTCTGTTCGTGCATCCACACGTTCATCTGTGCGTCCGTCCCTGCTTTCGTCCATGCATCCGCTCCTGCGTCCGTCCGTGCACAGCCATTTGTGCGTCCGTCCATGCATCTGTCTGTGTGTCCGTTCGTCCACCTATTCAACACTTCAAGTACCACCATCTCGCATCTTTTCATCATATATTCCTCATATAGAAGCACCGTTATCCAGCGGACATTCAAGGACAGAACGAGAGGAGGCACACGCACACACTCTGACGGCTTGCGCTTCGTGTCTACTTCCCACCTTTAACGACCTCGAGTTCATGGTATATACTAGTTCAATGTATACATGGCACTGCGGTACAACGCTCACTAAACCTTTCTAAAACATAGGAGGTTACGCCCAGCGAGTATAACGTTGCAACCCTTTCTTGTCTTCTGTGCGTTGTTGAACAATAGAAAAGTCACAGCGTGGGCGTTAACTAAAAGCTGAATTCTCCTGTCTCTCATTCCCTCTTAGCAGCTATTGGCATGTAGATTGAGCACTATCTTTTATTGTTCAACAACGCACAGAAGAAATCTCTTACCGGCACCACCTTGGAGATCAATATGTAATACTTGTTACACACTACTACGACTACTACGGCTACGAGGGATGAACGGGTGCCGCTATAAGGAGCTTCGTCCCTAAAAGGATGCACAAACGCAACACTAAGATGAGTTGAATAGACCTTTTTCAAGCACACTAGCGGCACCGACGGGCGCGCAAATGCTTAAGAGAAAAGTTGGTACCCCGCAGCAGCCGTCGCGACAAGTGAGTGTGCCTCACGCTTCAACTCTCTGTTTGCACTGGGCCAGTGCTTCTCAGATCAAGTGAACTGGGCAAGGTGAGATTCATTACTGCCTGGTTCAGTCACAAACTTCAGTGCTTGGGTCCGATGGCTTGTCTACAATTTGCACTTGTTCCTCGGTTTAACCATCTGAGTGGCTCAGAAGCGTCAGTTAATTATTATTATCTTCTAGCATCAGTCCGCCTTCGGCATAAATAAAGAACAGGACAACTTGGTTGCCTAAAAGGTGCGAGCATTGTCCAAAAATTAACAGATGCATTCACGGATAACGCTGTTTACGAGTAATTTGTGTGGTTCTCGCATATTCAAACAGTTCCATAGAAATAAGCGCAATTTCGTAAAATAAAATAGATTAACTAGACGACTGCACCCACTCTCAACATACGAATCTACCAACTTCCCTTGGCACTGTAACTACAGGCTGGAATAAAGCCTACTGAGGGCAAAAACAAAGAAGTAGTAAAGTAGGACCAGGAAAAAAATATGCACACCGGAAACGCTCACTTACCACTGAAAGGTTATCGCACATGTTCACAAACATATATAAGAAAATCGGGGTGCATCACGCAAGTCAAAAAGAGGTGCAAAAAGACTAACAACCGAGGGGCGTGTTTATCATTGATTAATGAAGTTGTGTTGCAGCGATAACGAAGGTCTATTGACTTAAACAAGGTGCGGCGTTCTTCCCCGAGATTTCTCGCGTGGTCTCGTCAGGCAGACTGTGCAAGATTACCAGGTCTTCAAAGGTGCAATTGCATGACTTAAAATGTGAGGCGTGATGAGATTGCTTCATTCAATTAATTTTGATGCTCTCTGAGGTGCGGGTTGATACATCGACCCGTCTGACCGATGTATATATGTGCCCACAAGAGGAATTCAGTTAGCAACTCTTGCACAACAATTGATAGAACAATTGGCATGAATCTCATAGTAATCTTCTCTGCCCACTCAAGATCACTGTGATCTTTTGCACTTAAAGGAAGGAATGTTACTAAGCTTATGGTGAGGAAAACACAACCCTCCCCTTCTATCGCTTCCCAACTTCCTTTGAGACATGTGCAGAACGTATTCATGGAATAACTGCAACATTTCTAGTTTCTTCACGGGTGAAATTCGTCCGAATTTTAATCCTTGTTTACAGTGCACATGAGCTGTTCACAAGCCTATGTAATATGATATAGAACCACGCAATCTTGCAACTGGAAACTATTGCTCATGTTCGGTGCCCACGTTTTTTTGTTTTATTCTTCGCCGAGCGTAAGTACGACATTATTATTCATCATGTAACAATACTTATGTGCGCCGACGCAAAATTTAATAATTATCTCACTCAATGCGGAATATACTGCCCTCAAACATGCTCCGCAGAGACTCTTATAGGCGTCTTATAAGAAAAAGCAAATTATCAGAGCAAGGCATCTTGCATGTGAATTCTAGCTCCACCCCTTCGTCTTTGAACAAGTTTTTAATTTGTTTACCTTTTTTCAGCACATGACTTGTCCACCAACATTTGAGAATTCCAAAGCTTTAACACTTCTCTGCATTCTTGTGTTAACAGCCCAATGAAACCACGATGGTATTAAAACCCATAGCGCTTCATGAGCAGTTCATTATTGAATAACTATAAACTCAGTGATCTAGCTCACATTCCTCACGATAACATGTTTTTACCACATGTATCGATGCCCAACAACTCGCATGCCGCTCATCTTCCAAATTAGATGCACACCCGTTCAGTAAACCTACACTGACTGCGTAATTCATTTCACATTTCTTGCGTATATATAATCACAGGTGCGTTCGGACTCTAATGAACAAGCGCCGGCATGTTTGTTTTGTTTTTTTTGTTTTGTGCTCGCACGCCGCCAACAAACAGGGGGCGGAAGAAGAGCCGGTTCTCTCGGCATACCAACTTTTCCCATAGTGCTCCGCGCGCCCGCGGGGCATTGTGGGATTGCTTCAAAAAGGTCTATTGAATAAACTTTTTTTGCCCAATGGTGTTTGCTGCGCCCAGGGCTAGGCTGCCTAGGGATCCATCGATCGAGGAAAATCTTCCGAGGTTACAGTGGAGTGCGTGAGGATATCCTGTAGCAGCAGGGTAACAGTATTGCGATTCACATGAACTGAATGTTCGAGAAAAACCAGGCGTCCCTACACACTGGGCTTGCCCTTTCGCTTACATAAGCAGAACCATAATGAACTTTATTTTCAAGAACATTTTGCCACAAAAATGTAGTGAATGGTTTGACAAGGCCCACTAAAGCTGGCGAGTGGTGGTTCATCTTTTCAGGACCATGGACCATCCCCGGTGGTGTGGAAACAGTGGCTTTCGTGCAGACCGAGCCGGCTAACGGAACGGCTGCAGGTGTGCCTGACATCGAAATAGTGCTTTTCTCAATGTCACCAGCATCAAAGGAAGGCGAGAGGTTCATGCTTGACATCGGACTAGACCCAAAGGTAAACTTTTATAGTGTTTCCGGAAAACCCAACGAAAAAGAAACCGCGAGAGGGCACATGCTACTCATCCATGATGCAACAACAAATTGTAGAGCAATTCATAAACACATACTATGAAATTCGAACATATAGCTCAGCAGCTGGCTCCAACGATCAACACAATGACAAATAGCAGAAAATATCAAATAGCTAAACATTCGTTGAAAGGCTCCTGCAAAGACTTGAACTTTATAAATACGTTGCCCTGATAAAAACAGTCATCACTGATAGGGAACATTTCGTCCCAGTGTACTGAGTACTCGATCAAGTGAATTAGTGCCCCTATAGCACTCATGACAGTCGTCATCATATGTAGAAGTGTCTCATTTTGTAGACTTTATACGAATCCGTGTACATTGTTTTCGTGTGTGCGTGTCCATGTTTTTTTTATTAATTTCGTCTCTCTTTTAACCCCCTATTCCCAACCTCAGTGCAAGGTAGCGTAACGAATCCGAACATCTAGTTACCCTCTCTGCCTTTTCGTTTTCTCATTTCCATCTCTCTGTAAGTAAATCCTGCCACGAGTTTAGTGCTGCTATCTTGCTGCTTTAATTTTATTTTCTGTTGGGTATTTCGTGTGTACAAAGAAATACCGTTGGCAACAGAAAAACGAATGCTGACACATTCTCCAAGACCAAGTGCACTGAGAATGCTCATCCGTTGAATTGAGTATAGTACCCGCCTGAAACAGATCGTGTCATATGTTCACAAGCACATCGCGAAACCATGTTGCAACTGCAGTCGTGACTAGTAGGAAGACGAAATAAAAGCTGTGGATCCCACAAATATACTCTTATAATTGATTATAATAATAGTACTCTTTTAAACATTGATTGATATTGCCTTCAATAGCTTACATCACCTACTTTTCCTCTATGCTCTATAGCCAACCATCCTTCGCTCAATTCAGGCTCGGAACTTATTTTACTCCTTTTACTATTCTTCCACATCGAGGTGCTGTTGTTACAAACTTCCTGTCTTCTTGATATTCATTCTAGTTGCTTAATGTCCACTCACTGTGCGCATGCACATATTCTCAGGGATTAGCCAAGATTCTGCGGATACTCAGTGCCACGAACCCAGAGGAATGAACTTGCCTGTTCGTGCAGATGCATATCAAATGCCCAAAAGTCTAAATGGCCCTGAACAGGCAATACAGCACCAGCCAGCAATATCGCGAAGTGAGAAGAATAAAAAAATCATCACGTCAAAACTATTCAAGCATCGAGATTCCTCAGTTCGTATGTTATCTTTAAGTTGTATGCACAAGAAAAGGAGGAATCATGTGCCTGCAATTTCCTCTCGCGTTGTATGAAGCCACGTCTTGGAGAGCTATTAACCGCACTTGCTGTTCCTTGCAGGCGTACGATGAGTACTACAAGCCTCTGCGCGGGATCCATGGCTACAACCTGGTACCCGTCTTGCTCCACCCGAAGTCTCGCGGCGTCGTGCGACTGAGGAGCGCCGACCCCCGGATGCCCCCCGCCATCGACCCTCGATACTTTTCGCATCCGGATGACATACGGGTCATCGTCAAAGGTACGTGCTAACAGCGCCAACTATGAAGAGTAAAGATGGAAGGGCCCTGTTGACGTCTACGTCGTCATCATTATCAGCCTCACTACGCGCACTGCAGGGCAAAGGCATCTGCCGTGATCCACCAATCAACCCGGTCTACTGTTTTTTCTTTCACTTTATACCTACCAAATTTTAAATCTCATCAGCCCACTCATCTTTGTTTCCCTCTCACGTGTTTACTTTTCTCTAGGAGTCTAATCAGTTAGCTTAATGATCAGCATTTATTATGTCTATGCGCTACGTGCGCAGCCCATCGCCATTGCTTCGTTTTGATTTAAACTATGGTATCCTTCACCCCTGACGCACTCTGCTCTCTTCTTGTCTCTCATCGCTCGCTTCATCGCCCTAAATTTAAGCTGAACCCCCTTTATACATGCCCCACCTACATAGAGCCATTTTGATTCTGCATTGCATCTTTCCGTTGTCTGAAAAATGCCATTGCGCTAAATTCTGCTAAGCAATCGCAGGCCCTGCTTGCGATCGTTCACTTCACAGTTTCTCCGCGTCTGTGGCCAGTTCTTGTCATTACCGAGGGGGGAGGGAAGGGCGCATAGTTGCCAATTCCACTTACAATACTTGGATTTCGCCTTTTTCGCCGAGGCACTTGCAAGATTTTCTAGCTACCGTTACATTTTTAGGGCTTTCTATTTCCCAACAAATATAGGTTATTGTAGAGATAACGTTCACAAATAGCATGTTTGTCGATGACATTGAGCAATTGAGTGTCGAAACAAAACATACGCTGTAGGGAATCAATAAGCAATTGTTAACGTTATTATAGCACTGGCATACATCCATTCAACTAAATGGAGACTACTCTGGAGGCAAGGTTGAAACCTTAATATGGGTTTCATTCATAGTTGCTCGTATTTTCACTGTACTAAATAATTAAAGCGATTATTTTCAGACTCTCCTTCGTACATGAGCGATGCATTTTTTCCTCAGAAAAAATATACCTTGAAGCACAGAGAAATTCACTAAATTACGGCTTATTTTCTACCTGTCGGCGAAAGTCGCACAGCACCGCTTTGTGATAATTGTTTGCTTTTAGCTAGATAGGATCTGGCAACTTTGCTTGAGGGTCAATAGCACAGCTTCGGAATATTTTCTTCACTAGACAACTGTCAGAGTCTCAGACGTCAGCGGCCGTCGCAGCACATGCACGTTTTGAAACAAAATCTGCACTAACAATCGGTAGAAACAAAATGGAATTAAAAAAAAAGCTCGATTTAGGTCCGTTGAGGCGTGAACTAGCACGCAGTGGGCCGCTCTCATACGAGGACTGATAGGGTCCTATATAGCCTCTCCTGCCATGTCGTTAGACCAGTTGGACAGCCTGCGTAGCGCTACATCCCACTTGGATGATGTTAACGTATTTGTCAGCCCGAAACGCGGTGCATGGCCAGAAAATGATGTCTCAGCTGGCAAAGTCTGAGCAAAGAGCGTATGTGATTAATGTATGAATTCCGAGTTATATTTCGGGCATGATCGCAGGAATAGGATATGCCCCGACCTGCATAATCATGAGCGTCAATGCTTTATGCCTGCTACGGAAGCTAACTATTATTTATTATTTTATTACTTGTTCAATCAGGCAATAATTGACTGACCGATTAAGTAACCAGTGTTCAAGTAAATTAGGTCAAGGGAGCTCATTGATAATTGACCCCTTACATCAAATTTGTACACTCGAAATGCTTGTGCTTGGGAGTCCAGCATGAGACACTACTGGCCCATTATTTGTGACGAGCATTGCCATGTAAGATATATTAATTTGGTTTTAAAGTAAGGATGCGTGCTCATCCTATTTCAGGAATCGAAATTTTTTGTGGTTTGAAGTAGACGGAGCTCCTGCATGACCTTGCAGAGGTCAAGCAAGTATGGTCGACATCACAGAACAATGGTGGGTGGCGCACAATACCGAAACTGCAGCTCCCTGCGAGGACTATTGCTCGTCACTCCTCCCGCTCGGTTGTCGGGCAACTCTCTAGGTGGTTCTGGCTACTTTTCTGTTTTTTTTAGGGGGACACGCTCAAAGCGCCCACATTCCCCGCCCGGGCGTCCCTCTATTTACAAACGGCTCATTCAGCGTCACTGAAGCTTGAGTGCACGCATCGTCTCAGGCGCTTTTGGCTGTGCTGCGCGAGTTTTTTTTTTTTAATGGTCTTCAGGGATGTGTTCTGAGCTGATGCAGATTCTTTCTGAATTATCAAAACTAGCATTAATCATATGATGCGTTAGAGCGTTCCCAATTCCATTTCGGTGTAACAGAGCACAAAGCTACAGATTACTCTAGAAAAGTCACGAACAAAGGTTGTGCTGTCAGCAGTCCTTTAACTAATTTATCAAATGTTCCCAGCATCGTCATGGGCATTACAGAGAGGATCGCATAAACAGGGTTCATGCTCATTTACATGACGAAAATTCGACCGTTGAAAGCGGGCCCAAAATTTAACCCTGCAGAACACCGATGTTGATGAATTTAGGGGTGGAAAAGGCACCGGACACATATACCAACTGTTCACGATCACGAAGATAGCTACGAATCAGTTCTAGTGGGATGCCGAGATACACCGATTGACTCTAAATACCGAAATAAAATGACGTGGGAAAGATTCAAATGCCTTCGAAAGGTCAAGAAAAACACCACCAGCGACACAATTATTGTCAAAGCAGATTTAATTTCGTCGGTTAGGGATATTATGGCAAGTTCAGTTTAGTAACCGGGCCTGAAAACCTAACTGCTTATTAGAAAGATTATGAAACTTGTCTAAATAACTCCTTAAACATCCAACAAAGAGCTTTTCTATGACATTACTGAAGAATGAGATAATTTATATGGGTCGGTAATTCGAGATTAAACACTTGCCGCCTTTTATAAAGATGAGAATATTTCGAGCTTTTTTCAAGGGCTTTTGGGAAATCCCTGTTTCAAATACAAGATTTATAATGTAACATGAGACATCACAGATTAAATGAGCTATCAATTTCACGTCAGCAGCGGAACACTTATCGATACTAGTGCTTGTCTTCCTAATACTATTGATAACGGTGAACACTTCTTCTGGTGACGTCGGATAAAAAAAATTAATCTGGTAATCGTGAGGAAGTGTATGCAAGGAATGCTGTCGACTAAAGAATATCAATTTTGAATGAGTCATTAAAAGAGTTTGCAATATCACATAGGTTTTCGATTCCACAATTTTCTAAGTGAATCAAGGTAACACCTGAATGTATCGTAGTCCTGCCAAGAAAATAGTTTAGTTTTCCACTGCTGCCAAACATTTCAGACTTGCTTTATTTCATCTTCGAAGTACTTTATTTTAGCGGCCTTAAGTAACTTAGCTAATGTGTTTCAGTATTCTGTATAGCGCTTTTAAAGGTTGACATTGAAAGGGAACTTTTTTTGTGTTTTTGTATAAATTATCCTCTTTCCCCAGACATTTTTATTAGGTTAGATGTAAACCACGTATTAAATGGGACAAGGTACTTTTTTCCGCTTACAACTACTACTGTATAAGCGGTCATGACTGCATTTAAATGATATAGCACAAAAAATGTTGATAGGCTACTTCAGCAATGTCGCACTTCTAAACTGAAGACCAATCACAACGCTCAGTGGTGTTAATAAATGAAGCAGTATTTAGTTTATTCTTGAAGCTTCGAGTTCTTTTAATATTACTGGAAATGCCTATGCTTGCATAAATAGGACAATTATCTGTGACAGGCACCTCGATGACTGCTGCTTCAGGTGGCCTAATGAAGTTACACAAAACGTTATCTATAAGAGTGCCAGTGCCATGAAGTGGAACACGAGTGGGTGCAGTTATGACGCACTCGTAGCCATATCCACTGAAGCAGGAAATGTATTCGGAAACCTTTGCATTGGTCTTATCAAGAAGATTGATGCTTATGTCTCCTAAAATAATCACCCGCTTCCCTTCCAATGGCCTAATATCCAACACCTATCCTAAAGCTAGGCAAACCTCCACGACAGATGACGAGGGTGAGCGATAGATGCAGGCAACAACTAAAATCTTACTATCTTGCGAAAAATGTGGTTCATGAACTTCGATCCACAAGGATTCGCAACCAGGAATATTTAGTGTCAAATCCAGTCGCCTATGATAGTGAAGGCCTGATGATATAAAAATAGCTGCTCTGCCTTATGCATCTTCCCTTCGATGACAGTAATAGAGGAATAGGAAGGAAAGTTGAACAGGTTCCCGTCATATACACTAAGCCACGTTCCACTGATGCAGATGATAGAAAAGTGGTCATCAATGGCTGATAAGAATGTGGTATTATTATCATATTTTTTTCTCATACTTCGAACGTTAAAATGAACAAACGCCCTGCATGGTTTAGACAGCGGTGATGAGAGTTCAAATGATGAAATATACGCCATCCTTGGTTTGGATAGACGCTACAACTGCCAAAGTAAAATATATCCAGGAGATAATGGAGAGGTCAAGCTCTCATTTGATACGAAACACTCTGGCATCAGTAGATTTCCTTGGTTTTATCTGACAGTTTATCAGTCCAAAGAAACACCCACTGTTTTTTCTTTTTTGAGAAAAAGTGCTTTAGCAAAAAGCTTCATGTTATCCGGCAAGAGGTGGTCCTTAACGAATACAGCATGGGTGCCCTCACCAGAGAACCCAACAGCACATGTATTCGAGCGAGCTTTGCATGCCCTCTTAACAAACTCATTCTTTTTTTCTCCGGAACAGAAACGGGCCACAATAATCTGTTGTCCAGACTTAGGTGGCACTCTGGGAACAACGTCAAGATCAGTGACCTGTATAGGGCAATTGATTTTGTTACTAATCGACTGCACTACGGCGACACAGTCCTCACCTTGTGAAGAGGGTAGTCCCTTGATCTCGGCGTTGTCCAGTCGAGTGTACTGCTCCAGATCAGCACCTTCTTTAGTGTCTCGGTTCTCAAGTTTCAAAGCTTTGTTACTTGAACAAAGCTCTTGTTGTTGAATGCGGACTGTCTCTACAATGTCATTAGGTATTTTCAGGCTAGCATTTACGTTATTGACCTCTGAACTTACCTCACTGAGATCAAAGCCCACGTCTCGAAGCCTCACTGTGACGTCAATCACAACTCTGTCCACGATCGTTGTCAATTGGCTGTCACTTTTCGCCTCGAGGTCTTCGATTCTCTTAGCTAACTCTGCATTCCTAGGCATCGTGATGTCACAATCAGAAAATTTGTTAGGAAAACACAGGTGAATACATGAGTGTGCGAATATTACGATGAGCAGCAGCAGCAGTGGTGGTTGCAGAATAATACAGAGCGAATAATACCAATGTTAAGTAAAACTAACTGACATGTAGAAGGCAGGAACAGCAATTAAATGACTGTTCGCATCCGCAGCCACCACTGCTATGACGCGGGCGTGAGTCCTGCCACTACTTTTGATGCCTGGCCTAAAGATCCGCGCAGGCGCAGGTCGACGACAGGAATGCTGAGAATCGTAGATATGATGTGGCCAGATATTCAGAATACAGCTTTCCATGTTGGCATGTGGATAATGCAATAACAGGTGCTGCAGTAATCAGTATCGGAGAGCCTGGCCTGTCTAGCAGGAACACCTATAGAAGGCAGGAACAGCAATTAGACGAGTGTTCGCATCCCCAACCAACAACGCTGAAAGAAAAAAAATGAAAACTTTCGCTTTATGTTGGCTTAATGCTTTATTTATTTCGATAATCTCAATTTTATTATAACCAAAAAAATACAAATTCAGAGTCTATCTCTCTGCCTCTTCAGCCAGAATAACCTTATTTCCCATACCATTTCTCTCCTGTATATCTACTTTTCTGCCCCCTATCATTCTGCCTCCGCTTCCAGCGCACACAGCTTTTTCATATATAGAGTTACAGCGCAGCTTCACGACCAGTAAAAGTATATATCGAAAGGATTCTAGTCGTACCTTTTTCGAGCACGTAAAACACCAGATATTATATTATTACAAACGTCCTCATCTCCATGTCACTTTCTATGCTGCATTATATATATAAACGCAGCATTTCCTGTTCATTGTTGCGCCTCCGTATGTTATCCTGGCTCATAGCAAGATTATTAATTTCTCCGTGCAGGCATGAAGGCATCTGCGCGGATCGCTGAGACGAAGGCGTTCAAGAAGCTGGGTTCAAAACTGTGGCCTCGTCACTTCCCGGGATGCGAGCAGCACCTGTTGTGGGGAGACGAGTACCTCGAATGCCTGGCCAGGCACTACACCGCTGCCCTGTGGCATCCGTCAGGAACTTGCAAGATGGGCAATGGAAGTGACGCCGTCGTGGACCCGCAGCTCAGGTAGGTGCTTCACCTGAACTTAATCTCATTCGAAAAAAGATTGCCCAATCGGCCACTTCTTTTACCAAGGCAATTTAGAGATTCCCGAAATATTGCGTTTGTTAATTTACTCTCTGCTTCTGATTGATTGATTTGTGGGGTTTAACGTCCCAAAACCACCAATTAGATTATGAGAGACGCCGTAGTGGAGGGCTCCGGAAATTTTGACCACCTGGGGTTCTTTGGTGGGGTGTTGATAGGGGCCGGGGCAATCGGTACGGCTAGAACAAAAGCCTCCGAGATCATTAGACGTATCATGGCTTTTGCGCTAGAGAAATGTCGCATGTGTGATGAAGCCACAAAAACGGCGGACTCTAAAAACTAAAAACCCAAAAACATTCGCATTACATGACAACCAAGATGATGTACGCAGAACATCACTAAGCTCTTATTCTGATGTGACTCATTCCTGTACTGTTCGCACTTTTTAACTTCAGCTTTATCATAAGTGATGGTGAGCCTCAAACTGAAGCTCTTCGACAACATGCGAGTTCTCATTGTCGTTTTCTCGTGCCATGCGCACGCGTGCAGGGTGCTGGGTGGCGTGCAGGGCCTACGAGTCGTGGATGCATCGGTGATGCCTGAACCACTGTCGGCCCACTTCAACGGGCCCGCCATGATGATCGCCGAAAAGGCGGCACACATGATTCTCCAGGCCATGGAGGGCGAGGACAACGAGTCTCTGGTGCCAGATGCCACGGCTGTGGTTTGAAAGCCCTCCGCGTTCCTTGCCATTTACCTGTCGACAAAAAACCCAAGCAGACTGCTCTAAAAAGAACTTTCTATGGGCACTGTTAACACGATTGTGATTACATGAACTTACTTTGGAGGTATTAAATACCACCCCTTGATTACATATGACATCGCCGAAGAGAAGCCAGGAATCTGGAATTACTGCACGTTCCTTATCAACGTGAATTTTCATTGACATCTTTGTTTCTTCTCAGGTGATATGCTAATCTTGTCATATCCTACCTTAAATTATATATATATATATATATATATATATATATATATATATATATATATATGTAGTGTACGAATCCTTCCAAGGTTATGAACTTGGCTACTGCTCATGTGATATGTTGTCAGTATACATGAAGTGCTTCATTCATTAAAGACATGTCATATCGAATGAGCCCCTTGTACCTTCCTTAGTGAATTTCTTTTGTCCTCCTTCGTTGTGCCTCTAGTTATTGCAGCTTTGCTTCGCTAAAGAATTACTGCCAAGCACGCTGTGCGGCTCAAATATATCCTGGAAATTATACCTCGCATCGCAAGGAACTACAAGCGAGTGGCATCAGGTGAGTTATTACGAGTTGGTAATTAGAGAGCTCAATTTTATGAGCCAATTAGAAGATGCAACATGCGGATTGTTTCAGACATGACTTTCCCTGCCTTCGTCTGTCTCTTACTGTGTGTTGTGTTTAGTTTCGTCCTCACGATGGTTTCTAGAGTGAAGTAATAGATTACTTCTGGCATATTTACACATAAAGTGGTATTATTACGGGAAACTACGTACAGCTATAAAGAAGCCATAGTTTTGCCGCAAAGGCGAAGCAATCAATGCGATAGCAATAAATTGGATGGTCAACCGCAGAACGGCAAGCCAATAAAAACGTGCTACGCGTTTCTCATGCACAAATAACGCACGAAACGTACTCACAGCCCTATTAAAAACGTCCACCATAGAAATGATGGATTCCACCATCCACCATTTTGGTGGATGGTGGTGCTGGAAATGTTGGTGGCAAATAGTGTATGGTGGAGCGGATGGTAGATGGCACGCCCCAGTCGGCAGTGCTGGAGCGCGAAGCAGCGTCAGAAACACCGTGACGAGCTGCCACTAAAGAAATAATAAAAATAATTGCATAAATATGATGCAGAAAGCACCCGTAAAAATAAAAAGTTGCGACAACGCGGAATCAAACCAGCCACCATCGGACTTTCAACAAAACACACTAATCACTGCGCCATGCCGACAGATGGACATCTTGGTGTTAAAGAAGTAGTCAACTTACAAATTCACTGTTTAACTTCAGATCTGTTTGTCGTTTATTCGAGATGAACGAAATCTGCACCTGCTACTAAAATTTGCACATTTAATAAACATAATCAGTTGCTGCCTGTAAAGATTGGCACTGCGATAATGGCAACAGCGCTATGTTTTTGTTACAATTTGCAACTGCAAGAAAAAAAACAACTCAGTGGACTAAGGAGCAGGTAGAGTTTATCGGCGATTACTGCCAAGTTTAATATCATTTTCTCGCTCCTTCCAAAAGGCGATATCTGTCCAGGCTTCTTGACGCTTCTATGCTCATTCAATAGATACGCCCACACAATAGATTGTGATGTTTTTCGCACCATGCACAGCGCAGTCATGCCAGTGCACTACTGTTGCTCTGTCGTTAGGAACAACTACATAAAGCCTTGGCCGAAATGAATGCAGTGCGCCAGAAACATTATGCTATCATTTTTGTTCAGTAAGCATTTACGAGTCTGTTATCGCATAAGAGCCAATGCCCTGCCGGCGAAAGCCGGCGAGTGCGACCGGCAGCTGTCAGTGAGGGAAAGCGTACATTTATGGAAGTGCTGCAAGCGCGTGGGATCGATGTTTCTCACTTCTTGCGCGGACATCATACACAATAAAAAAAGGCTTCATTTAGGTTAAATGATGCCACAGCTGTGCTGTAGTGTCATTTTCACTCGTCAAAATTGCGTATTCTGGAACCCAGAAGCACCGATAACACTTGTACGTGCTTGGTTCGTAGACTAACATGTGATGGAAATTATGGTAGAAGAACAGAAGAGTGAAAGTCAAATTCGCTGGGGCTCGTTCGACGCATGTCGAAAGTGATAGTTTATGCATATTCACACGCACTTTGTTAACGTAAAAGTACGACTCAAACAATAGAGTGTGCAAAAATTGACAGTGTTGCGTGCCTAGCGTGGCTACATCAAGTGACCGACGTGTTCTGCTCTAACATTAAAAGGGGCAATCACGAACTGGAGCTTATTTATTTCTCGACAATTGCACGCCGATGTAAAACATTTATTGTCACTGTTCACAGTGACAACTCTAGTCTTTTAAACATCCCAACAAAGAAACACATCGCGGATGTAAAACTGATGTAAGTACGTTTGCGAAATGTCAACATAATCACGGCCGCATACTCTACGCTCCACAAAAAATGAAGCGTTGTTGACACTACAGGAATAAAAAAAATAGGTGCTTGAAAGCGCAATGAGCAGCGTTGGTTTTTTTTTTTAACCGTAAACTTATATCTCTACGTATTCAAGAACAAAACAATACAAATAGGTGATTTCACATGCTGTCATGTGCTTTTTCATCATGCCACCATCCTCCACCAAGCTTCCATCACACCACTGTCATCCACCTTGCTCCCCAAGCTTTCCACCACACATGTTTTGATGATGATGATGTGTGGCGCTTTATGGACGCAAGGGCCAATTGATGGCCAAAGAGCGCCATTTCAATGAGTAGATATGTGGACAATGATATGTTGCGTGGCTGTATAGGGGCCTTGAAATTCCTCACGATAATGCGGGTAAAAACATAAGTATTAAAATCATGCCAGTGGCATGATATGCATAGTGAAAAAGGGTGACAAAGGTTTTGATAATAAAAACGTGTAAAAATATTTTGCACTAGCACAAGTGCCTCATCAGCGCTTTTGTGTCCAAGGGCTGCGAGGCAAGTGCTTTTAAATGTAGTCACTGCAGCAGGAACCTCTATTAAGAGGTCGCGCTACGCATTGCCTGGTATATGACATGATAAAAGCGAACATCTCTTAAAAAGTCAGGACCGATTTATCAGTGAACAGTGGTTTCCTACCGACGAACATTGCAGGGTGTAAAGGTATATGTTGTCTGTAGGGTAATGAAAAGTGTTGTTTTCTTAGAGTGTCTAGTTGTTTGCACTGGATTAAAATTGTCACACAATGGTGGATCGCCACCGGACAAAAGATGCGAGTGTGTCCTGTATGTGTGTCCTATCCTGAGCCTCGTTAGTGTTACCTCTGTGTGACGTGATTTTGATACTGGCGGTCAATGGCCAAGGTTTGGCTTAATAACGTGTAGTTTGTTTTGTGTGTGTCTATCCCACTTGCTCTGCCAGTAGTCCCTGAGTTTTCGTTTGAGAAATGGCTTAAAATCAAGGGCTGGGATTGATATGGGTGTAGTGGCAGTGCTTTCGTGGACGGATGCAGCAAGCTGATCCGCCATCACGTTGCTTTGGATCTCACGGTTCCCTGACACCCAGCACACTACAACATGGTGGCTGAGTGTGTAGAGTGTGCATAAAATGGCGTAAAGTGAGGTGAGGACAGGGTTTTTTTCGTTTTTAAGACTGTGCAGAGCCGTTACCACGCTGAGGGAGTCTGTATAAATTACTGCTTTTTGTATTTGTAATTGTTTGATGTGTTCAGCTGCCACAAGTATCGCGTAAGCTTCCGCTGTGAAGATACTTGTGCCTGGATGTAGAGAGCCAGCATCCAAAAAGGATGGGCCAACAGCAGCGTAGGACACAAAGGAGTTAGTCTTGGAGGCATCTGTGAAGAATTCAGTACGTGTGTATTTGTGTTGAAGTTCCAGGAAGTATGTTCGAATATGGGCAATAGGCGCATGTTTAGTAATTTCTAGGAAAGACACATCGCAATCTATACTCTGCCACTGCCACGGTGGAATGTGTGCTACAGGAGCCATTAAACTGTGTTCGAGTGACACTCCAGTGTACTCAGCTAGACCCTTCAAGTGAACTGAGAAGGGCTGCCTCATTGAAGGCCTGTTTTGAAACAGAATGGAGCTCGACAAATCATTAATAGTAGAGTATGAGGGGTGCCTCTTGTCTGCTTTCACCTTAAGGAAATTTACAAAGGACATGTAAGTTCTCTGTAGATGAAGCGACCATTCATTTGACTCAACGTAAAGGCTTTCTACAGGGCTGGTGCGAAAAGCACCCGTAGAAAGGCGGATGCCCAAATGGTGCACGGGGTCCAGCATCTTCAAAGCACTTTGAGTTGCAGACTGATGAACAACGGCCCCATAATCTAAGCGGGTGCGAATGAGGCTTCGATACAGATTCATGAGGCATTGCCTATCACTACCCCAAGTAGTACGTGACAACACTTTTATAACATTCATGGCTTTTAAACATTTTGTTTTTAAATACTTGATGTGCGGTACGAAGGTCAACTTGTTGTCAAAGATTAAGCCTAAGAATTTATGCTTGGCTTTGACAGACAGACGTTGCCCGTTCAGTCGAATGTCAGGTTTTGAGTGTATGCCTCTCTTTCGAGAGAACGAGACACACGTGCTTTTTTGTGGGTTAAGTCGAAATCCGTTTTCATCTGCCCATTTGGAGACCTTGTTTAAACCCAGCTGAACCTGCTGCTCACATATTGCCAAGTTGCATGACTTGAAGCCAAGCTGAACGTCGTCGACATATGTACAATAGAACATATTGCGGGGGATGGACAAGTGCAAGGAATTCATTTTGATAATAAAAAGTGTGCAATTAAGTACACCACCTTGTGGCACGCCTAATTCCTGGACAAATGTTTGGGAGAGAACACTGCCCACACGGACACGGAATGTCCGGGTTGACAGGTAACTTTCGATTATGTGAAACATTCTTCCGCGCACGCCAAAATAGGACAGGTCTCTTAGAATTCCAAAACGCCATGTTGTATCAT